CCCTATACACGTATCTGACACACCACAATAGTCATCCTATACACATATCTAACACACCACAATAGTCATCCTATGCACGTATCTGACACACCACAATAGTCATCCTATACACCTTTCTAACACACCACAATAGTCATCCTATACACGTATCTAACACACCACAATAGTCATCCTATACACATATCTAACACACCACAATAGTCATCCTATACACGTATCTGACACACCATAATAGTCACCCTATACACGTATCTGACACACCACAATAGTCATTCTATACACATATCTAACACACCACAATAGTCATCCTATACATATCTAACACACCACAATAGTCATCCTCTGAACGTGTCTAACTCGTGACGTTATGTTACGAAAAAGACGCTTGTTCTTTATTACGTCAAAAGTATCTTAATATCAAATGAATTTATTAGTAAAACAATTAATAGAAGATATTTACAAGTTTTTAGTAAATTTATCTTTATTTCAAATACTTCTTCAAATATTTTTCATTATCTTTCTTTTGGAAAATTAGTTGAATTATCAACATTATTATTAATCAGGATATTGTTATATGAGTGTTATTGTTAAAGTTATTTATTTTAATAAATAACTTTAACATAGTTATTTTATCTTTATGTCTTATATGTTTTATTTTCATAACGTTATCTTTTGGACAGCTATTATTTTTATTTTGTAAACAATTTTTCAACACTTTATCCGCATTTTCTCTTTTTTATCTTATCTTCACTTCTTAAAGTAATATTAATTGTTCTTGTGAATTCTGTAGTTCTAGATCCAAACCTTATCTGTTACTTCACTTCTGAATATAATATTAATTGTTCTAATGAATTCGGTGGTTCTAGGTCTATATCTTATATGTTACTTCTCTTCTGAAAATAATATTAATTGTCTCATGAACTCTGTACCTCCAGATCCAGACCATATATATTACTTCACTCTTGAAGTAATATTAATTGTTCTCATGAACTCTGTAGTTCTACATGTAGACCTTATAGGTTACTTTACTTCTGAATATAATATTAATTGTTCTCATGAACTCTGTAGTTCTAGATGTAGACCTTATAGGTTACTTTACTTCTGAATATAATATTAATTGTTCTCATGAACTCTGTAGTTCTAGATGTAGACCTTATAGGTTACTTTACTTCTGAATATAATATTAATTGTCCTCATGAACTCTGTAGTTCTTGATGTAGACATTATAGGTTACTTAACTTCTGAAAGTAAGATTAATTGTAGTTCTAGATCTAGACCTTATATGGTATTTCACTTCTGAAAGTAACACTAATTAGCTTGATAACTCCGTAGTTCTAGATCTAGACATTATAGGTTACTTAACTTCTGAAAGTAAGATTAATTGTTCTGAAATGTTATGAAAATTTAGTTAAATAAATAAATGTTCTTAAAAGTAGTTTCATTGTGTTATCAGTAATCTGGTTATCTGTGTAGGGAACGGGTAATTCAGCTAGTTTAACAATAAAACAATCCAGTTTCCTCTCAAATTTACTTACTGATTAATTATATTTATTACAAGTTACAGCTTTTATAGTAATTTATTTTTAGAACGGGTACAACGTTTTAATCACTTGAGTACTTCAGAATGATTGCAACAGTGATTGAAAAGTCGTGCCTGTTCTAAAAACAAAATTACTTACCCTGAAAGCTGTATCTTGAAGTATGATAAGCTGTATCTTGAAGTATAATAAGCTGTATCTTGATGTATAATAAGCTGTATCTTGAAGTATGATAAGCTTTATCTTGAAGTATAATAAGCTTTATCTTGAAGTATGATAAGCTGTATCTTGAAGTATGATAAGCTGTATCTTGAAGTATGATAAGCTGTATATTGAAGTATGATAAGCTGTATCTTGAAGCATAATAAGCTGTATCTTGAAGTATGATAAGCTGTATCTTGAAATATAATAAGCTGTATCTTGAAGTATAATAAGCTGTATCTTGATGTATAATAAGCTGTATCTTGATGTATAATAAGCTTTATCTTGAAGTATGATAAGCTGTATCTTGAAGTATAATAAGCTTTATCTTGAAGTATGATAAGCTTTATCTTGAAGTATAATAAGCTGTATCTTGAAGTATGATAAGCTGTATTTTGAAGTATAATAAGACTATCTGTCAACTCCAATTTCTAGGCTCATTATCTACTGCGTTATAAATGTTACAAACAAAGAAAGCGAGAAAAGTATTTATTTTTTAATATAGCAAGTACAACGTGTTTTGCTTTTAAAATTATATATGAACGTTTTACGATTTATACTGTAATAGGTTTAAAATAAACATTTGCAGTTAAAACAAACAAAAAAAATAAATTCTTTCTCGAACACGATGTTAACAATTTTTCAGTCGACAGTGTTGAAATTTCCACCGTCGATCCCTGGTAAGAGAAAATCAAACTATTTATAGAAACACATATAAACAATATTTCACAAAGTACGATATGTTATCATTAGTTTACCTTAAAATAATAATACAGAATATCTGTATTCCTAAAAACGTTCAGTAAAATATACACAAATATGTTTTTTATCATTTATCCATTTTGTTAAGAAAACCTATATGAATCTCTGAGATGTAGTGAAAAAAAAACTTGAAATTCCGACACGTCGCTAGGCACTGGCATTAGGGTCCCTTGTTCAGATTCTATTTACAGGTCCCCTGTCGATGCCTTGAAAAATCAGAATAGAAATCCATGATCAATGTCATAGCGAAACGGCGTTCCGGTTTGTTCCGCCTCAACTCAGCCACTGGTATCAAATTGCTTGTTTGTTTGTTATTGAATTTCGCGCAAAGCTACACGAGGGCTATCTGCGCTAGCCGTCCCTAATTTAGCAGTATAAGACTAGATGGAAGGCAGCTAGTCATCACCACCCACCGCCAACTCTTGGGCCACTACTTTACCAACGAATAGTGGGATTGACCGTCACTTTATAAGGCCCCCACGGCTCAGTGGGCGAGCATGTTTGGTGGGACGGGGATTCGAACCCGCAACCCTCAAATTGCAAGTCGAGCGCCCTAACCACCTGACCATGCCGGTATGAAATTAACTTACAACTGTTATTTTAATGAAATAGTCAGGATATGGTATCGAAAGACTCACTTTATAGGTGTTTTATTTAAAAGTATACTTACTCTCTGTGGTTGTCGTGTTCACTGATGACCCCTGTTAAAACATAGTCTTTGGGGACAGTGTAGTGCAAGTCTCCATCCCATGAATTAACATAACCAGTCCAAGCGCAAGTTCTGTAGTCTGTACATTTATTTTTGTCTTTACAGCAATAGATTTTCCATCTAAATGATCAAACAATCATAATTTTAAAAATTCTCACTTTTTCTATATACATACGTATATATATATTAGGATTCATAGATGCACGATGTTCACTAGCCCAGAGAAGTTAGTACGATTCTATATTTAGGCTTCAGACAAAATAATCTGATCATACGATGTAATAACCTCAGGCTAAATAATCTGATCATTTTATTTAATAACGTCAGACTAAATTATCGAATTATATAATGTAATAACTTCACACTAAATAATCTGATTATATAATGTAATAACTTCACACTAAATAATCTGATTATATAATGTAATAACTTCACACTAAATAATCGGATATTATTGTAAATTAACTTCAGAGTAAATAATCGGATATTATCGTAAATTAACTTCAGACTAAATAATCAGATATTATCGTACATTAATTTTAGACTAAATAGTCATGAAATTAATTCCCGAGGAAATTACAAAAGTTATTATCGTTTTTGTTTAAAGTAACAAAATGAGTATAACAGATGAAAATAAATATCATTACCTTCTGTCTTCTCTACGATTGTCATGGTAACTGTTAAAACCCGCGATCGCCTCTCCACTCTTGCAGGTAAAATGAAGCAGTTTGTCCCAATCGTTGACGTAGTTCGTGAAATAGCACGATGGATCTCGCAAAGTTCTTTCACAGCCGAAATTCCAACGCCTATCCTCGTGATGGTTGCTATGGATACTAGAGATAAACACAATGCTGTATATATGCTATATTGTAAACATACGAAATTTCAATTTTAGATATAATTCTAAAAGTTAGGATTGGATATGAAACCCAGTTAAGATTCAAATTATTGTAAACAACATATCATATAAAGTTTTAACACATGCTTTTCTGATATTTCTACTACTTGAATTTTTGAAATAATACGAGTAATTTTAAATCAAACAATCTGGTAAAACGCTGTACAGAGCTGCAGTTCCTAACTATAGCACGCGAGTCTATTTCCATGGGTTTTATAGAGGGGTAAAATAGTTACTATTAAATAGTATATTATTTTGGAACTTCTTAAGGTTCCAAAAAGTAAAACAAATTTAACACCATTATGATGATAAGTAAACTTTAAAAATAATTTAAGAAAGCAAAACCTAGATATGGTCTTGATGGAGTCCTTCAGTTGACACTGAAAGTTCAAAGCGCCATCCCAGTCGTTCACCCAAGCCTCTGAGAAGGTTAAAGTACTAAAGATGATTATGACGATAGCCGGGGAGTTCATGTTGGTTACGTTAGGTTAGTTGACGAGTGGAGCCAAACGCAAGTTGTACGATCTTCGACTTTTATACCCATCTTTTCAACTCGGTAACGGAAAAAGGAACACCATTTACAGGAAACTGTTAGGCTTAGCGTTTTCGAAAAAAAAAAAAGAGAACAAATTACAGGAACTGTTTCTTTTCTGTGAATATAGTCGTTGTTTGATTTATTCCAGGTATACATATAGAGGTAGTCAGAAATACTCGTACGTTCAATCATCATCTGAAACCAGGGAGTATTTTGTTTAAATTATTATGGGCTGTTAATTAACACTAACCTTCAGAAGGTCCGATATTATGTTAGATTGAGAAGATATAGATTTGATAAATTCATATTTTTGTACACTAGAACTGGTAAATTAGTGAGTTGTTTTCTTAAGTATCAATATCAACGAGTTGTTATGCCTTACCAAAGTTACTTAAGATCTCGGTCAGTCAGAAACCCACTTAAAATGAAAGTTTCTTTGTCGAAAAAAATTAAATTTCTAAAATAATTTTTTTGCGCGGAAAAATACCATAAAACCGGATAATACTGCCGTTTGTAAAAAAATCAGCTGTTTCGAAATCCATTTTTCGTTTCTGTGTGGAGCAAATATGACCGAAAATATGAGAAGGGTAGGATCATGTGAGGAACATAAATGCACAAATATAAAAAAGAAAGTTGAAAAGCTGTGAAATGTGTTTACATTGTGATCCGCCAGCTATATATGCAGTAAAACATTGTCATATTATCCACAAAAGTAGGCGTTGAGTAGTGCAAAAGATCCAAAAGTCAGTAAAAAATAGAGAAAGATGACCAGACGATCAGTGCTTAGGGGAGCTAATCGAGAGATGCTCATTGATGGATAAGATGGCGGCTCAGATAATGAAGTTAGTATACCCATCTGATCCAGAAATGTTGCAGATCCAAAAAGAATGGAAATGTATGCTGAAGAGAGTTAAAAGATTTAGACAAGACGTACTAGAAAAAAACTAGAAACATGTTTATTCTAATTAATTATGCAGTGAAATGAATTAATAACATCATTGTAACTAGAATAACTCGAATAGTTGCTAAAAATCAAAGCATTCTCCATCTTTCCTTTGATTTTCCCGGAAGTAGGGAGGTAGCCGATCGTTTTGTCTGTTTCTCCGCAACCAGTTGTTATTATGTGACTACAACTATACAGACGTTCTAACACGTATGATTGTTATTATGTGACTAAAACTATACAGACATTCTAACACGTACTATTGTTATTATGTGACTACAACTATACAGACGTTCTGACACATATGATTGTTATTATGTTACTAAAACTATACAGACGTTCTAACACGTATGATTGTTATTATGTGACTACAACTATACAGACTTTCTAAAACGTACGATTGTTATTATGTGACTACAACTATACAGACTTTCTAACACGTACGATTGTTATTATGTGACTACAACTATACAGACTTTCTAACACGTACGGTTGTTATCATGTGACTACAACTATACAGACGTTCTAACACGTACGGTTGTTATCATGTGACTACAACTATA